TGGCAAAGAACTAAAGATCAAACATCCCATGATTACCTGTTCTTCTAAGCAAAATGTTAATCGACTGAAATATACACACTATCAGCAAGCAGCATTCCCATGGGAGACCCAGGATGACAGAATTCTGCCACATCAAGTCTTTACTCACTGGGTTTCTTTCCTGAAAAGATGCAGCACGGGAAATCTCTCACCCTCCAAATGACAATCACAGCTTTGTTTACCCTTTCTATTCCCCCTCTTTTGGGCTGGTGTTCATTGTCTTTGAGAGTGATCCCACAAAATAATCATAATACAAAACTAGTGGCATTCTCTGTTTCTCTCTGGAAGATTATATGCTCCAAGATTACATCCTTATAATGTTTTATCTAAGTTCTTGGGAAAAAAACAAAAGGATATTAATCTCAAAGTTATCTATCACCTTATCCTGACAACATGACAAAGTACTGCCAAAAGGCCAGGGTCTTATCTTCTTCCTGGTGTTTCCTGCTAGGATTAGCTTCAAGTCCCCTGTCTTCAATAAGAGCCAAAGGACATTTTCTTTTGTTTTGCCAAATAAGCACTTTTTTTTCTCATCACATCAGACTTATTTTTAGAATATTTGAATAGCCTATCTTTGTCAGTTGCTACTGTATAAATAGAGGTTGCTAAGGAAAGAACAGTAGCTGCTTTTCCTTAAGCAACAGTAGCAAAAGAGTATGAAACAGCAGATGATTTCTTAGCAGTAACATGAGACTAAGAGCAGCAGTTCTCTTCTACTGCAGTATTTCAAAAACAAAGAAATGCCACTCACTAAAGTATTAATATTTTATGTTAGAAAAATAATGCAAATCTATCTCAAATTGGCATACTTGCTAATGTGTGTAAGAAGGCTTTTCCCCTGCTTCTGAAATTCATGCCCTTCTCATTTTGTAGCTCTAGTTTTAATTTTAAAGTTGTAGACACGTTTACTTCTCTTTTTAGGATTGTTTGCCTACTTCAGAGCAATCCTAGGAATTCACAACTCAAGGATCTCGCATTCAGAACCACATTAAAGACTGTTAGCAAGGTTACAAGTTCCCTGTAGCTGAAGAGAGTATGTATTTAGGTACAACACCGGTATTTAGGGAGAGATTTGTCAGAAAAAGGATTTGGTTTCTTATATTCATTTATTTTGCTCTGACTACTGTCAGATGAGAACACTGGCACAAAGAATTTGGTTTCGTACTGGAGCTTCTACTGAAGCTCCCATCTTAGAGGATGGATTCAGTAATTTCACATTTAGATATTAGCATTGTGCTCATTCTAAATCACTTTCAGAGCAGAAGAGCAGTCCTCTGCACCCAGTGTACTAATAAAGCCACTGGCACGTGCACAATTTAGAGATAGGTGATTAGTTTGCTGATGTGACCACTGCAGGAAGCTGACTGCTGCACACTGTTCTGGCTGTAGTCACTAGGGGAAGATATTTCAAAAGCAGAGCTAGTCTGAGGGAAAAAAAAAGGCTTGGGACTTGTTCACACAGGGGACAACTCAGGATGGTTTATCTGAATTAGCTAGAGATTTACCGAGGATTAGTTAGAATCATATAAAACCTCTGAGGGTATACTTTTGTTCAGAATTATATTGTCCTAATTCAATTAGATTAACCTACTTCCAAATGTTTTACACAGCTAGTGACAACAAACCAGACTAGAAGGCACATAAGGGTATCTAAAATGGTCTGTGCATGAACAGAGCCATGCTCCCCTTATGCCATGTGAATATCACATCTCACAGCAAAATGTAGTATCAAAAGCTGACAACTGAAACGGAAGAAATTGAGTTCAAGGACATGATAGGCAGAGAATTAGATGTCATCATCATCTTCAGAAAAACTGCAGTTATAGCCCAGGCACTAGCCAGTTCTAGTGCTTCCAGCTAGAATGATCATCAAACGTGCCTGGATCGTGATATCATTTCAGGCAAGTGGAAGCTCAGCATCTTTGAAGCCTTAATGACAGCTAGCTTACCACCAACTTGTCTGGGAAAGCATTCAGCAGACATAGGGGACAAGTTTCATTTATGATATGCTGCTCTTCTTATGATTTTTTAAAGAGAAAGAACAAGGTCCAGTACTGAGCAGGGAACCAAGTACCTAATCCTCCGCGTTGGAAGTGTACTAGGGCTTCATGATGAGGCAGCTTAGTATCAATAGCAAGCCCACTAGAGTCATACCTTGGCATGGCACCTTGGTGAGTGATGAGGAAACCACCAAGCTTATCACAGTCACACCAGGGCTTCCGATTCCCATTCTGGCAGGGATATTTCTGGAGTGTTCATAGTGTCTTCTTCCCCAAACAACAGGCCAAACCTGGAAACTCTAAGAAGCTTTTCCAGTCATCCTCACATAGGAAAGAATGACAAAAAGGCAACACTGTGTTTTAGTGGAAAGTCCCTAGTGGCCAACAGGAAATGTAAAGCTTTCACACCCTAGGCATGCAGCACAAGTTCAAGTGGGCAGAGAGACTGTAAAAATTTCCTTTACTTTCCCTTGTGGAAGCCCCTGAAAACCAAAAGGCCTAGAAAGTGGAGGAGAAGACCAAAAGCTGGAACCATACTTGGTCCTCATTTACCTTTCCATTTGTCCAAGTGAGGAGTGGGCAGCTGCTGGCTCCAGCTGCGGTCGTGCTTGTAGTACACTCCGGGGTGAGGACGTGGCATCTTGCCTGATCTGTCCAGCATCTCAAAGGTGCTTGAGGGGAGAACAAAAGTGTTCATGCTGGTGTACAGCAGGAAAATCCGGTGTGTTGGGATTGAGTCAGCTGTCAGAGGCAGAGATGGGTAAAAATGCTTTTGATGTGCTTGGAGGGACGTGCTGCAGGGCTGAGAGGTCTGGAGGTCTGCTCGCTTTTCTGCCTGCAAATGCTCCTGAGTGTCCCCAAGGCCAAAGCTGTGCAGATGGCCAGCGATGTATTAGATCAAAACAGACCCAGTTTATCTGCTCCTAAAATGTAATGCACTCTGCTTTCTGATGGCAAGCCTCAGAAATACCAGAATTAGACTTCAGAAGAGTATAAAAAGCTCCCTGCTAACATAATGTGCAAATGGACTGTCGCACTTACTGTGATCTTGGGCAGCAAAAAAAATTAGAAGGCAACAGCAAACAGCAAAGAAAATTTCAGCTGAAAAATACCAACATTATCTTCTTTTAATACATAGTGTTAAAATGAACATTTTTAAAAGCTGAAGAGATATGAGCCCAGGTGCTATTGCCGTATGTCTTATGTAGTTCATGATTATTAACGAACAGCAGAATACATATAAAAGAGTCTAGAATGGTATGGATATGAGCCCAGTTGGTGTCCCCATATGCCTTAGAAATTCCATTTTTAGGAACACAGCAGCATATAGCATTAGAGATGCTTCTTAAACATCTCATTTATAAATAGAGCAGAGCTGTTTCACTGAAGTACAGACAGAAAAGGTCCACAAGAATAATAAAATCAGCTGCATTCAAAACCAATCAAATGGTTCAACCACCCCATTTCCAGTAGGAACCACTCAGCACCAGAATATTCCCTGAATGAGGAATGATGCTTGTTTGTCATAGGCTCATCACAGGGATTTTTTTAAAAGGAACCACCAAAAAGACATTTTAGTCAGAAAATGCCAACTTACTTTTGTTTTCGCACAATGTTCCTCCTGAAAGGTTTTTCGTGTCCAGAATGGAAGAGGGAAGGCCCAAGCTTCAGGACAGTGGAGAGTTACAGCTGTGAGTGAGCAAATGAGTGAGCCACTTGTGAAAATCAATCAAAGTAGAGTCTGGAGCTTGGCTGGTCCACATCCTGGGGAGACTCCTTCACCAGCAGGCTGCGGACTCTGCAATACAGCTCCGCCTCTCATGCTTTTCAATTTCACCAGAACCACCTCTAAGGGAAGGCAGTCAACTGTGAGGATTCCTGGCTAATTGTGAAAATATATCACCAAATGCACTTGACAAAAAAATCAAACTTTCATTGTATGTACACTATCAACCAAAATATATCTAAAGCAAATATCTAAAAAACATACACTATATATGAATGAAAAATTATTTTATTTAAAAATACATTATACAGCAGAGTGTCTCTCTTTTTTTTTTTTCTCACTGCTGGTTCACAGAGATAGTATGATAAATTTAACCCAAATATTTGACTGGGAAAGATCCTGAGAAAGAGACCAGTTACAAGCTGATGATATACAGTACACTGAAAAAGAGTCATCTCTTTTAACATAAAAGAATCTCTTGGTAATCTTATAAATCAGATATAAAAAATGCAGGTTTGCTACCATGCAAAAACGAGTGAAGATTTCATTTAAATCTGCACACAGAGAAATCATTAGTACCTTGGACCCTAACTACCTAGACTAAGAGAAGGGTGAGTGTGCCTAACATGGTGATACAAACTTTGGATCTACTACGATTTTGTAAACACAGTTGATAGTCTAATAAAAGTGAATTTTCAATCACCTAAGTATTGTAGTTGTAGCTAAGGACTCTAATCTAAGATTTTTCTCCCCACTGATATATTTCTTCATTCTCTTAATTCTCAGCTTAGCACAATGACTTAGTGAAAAATGCTCTATTGCACTAAAAGATGACTTGGCCTTGCCCTGTTTGCCAAGCACTCTTTAGGTAGTTGAATTTTAGTGAAAGCAGAGGTTAAAACAAAAAGTAAAAAACTGGCATTGCCTGATGACTATATGGGAATGATTAAAATTCATCATAGAAAAAAATATACCTGCTTCTACTCCTTACGTTTCAAACATACTCTAACAATGATTAATGCACAGGAAGTACATTGAACTGTAGAAAATTTAAGGCCTAAAATGCTCAATAGCCTGCACTGAACAACAGTATTTTCAATGTTTCTATAGTGCTAGCATTTTATCAGCTGTTGCCAAAGGAAAACTTTCCAGTAGACATTAAGAATGTCTTCACCATCTACAATATTCCAATCCATTTGATGCTCAATTTCTATAGTCATCAAGACTATCCTTTTAAGGGGAGACCCAATCTGATTATTCATAGCGATAACAGAGCTATGATAACATCGCCTGATGTTGAGGAAAAATCAATTCATCACCACCACACACACTGGCAAAGGATTTTTTTTTTTCACCCAAGAATAAGAGCCTGGAACATAAACACAGTTCGAAAGCTTTCTAGAAGGTCTGCCTGTCCTGGTCACTCAAGCTGAAGAAAATTAATGATGCTATTTTGGCTTTACCATGAGTTTTCCACGAAAATGGAGAGTAGAAATTTAGATGCACTTTTCTCACTAAGCCAGTGACCCTCTTCTTATCTTAGCACCCGTACTCCCAGCATAGTATCAGAGAGTTCAACAAACATGAGAAGATGCAGGTTTCCTTAAATAATTTGTTTAAATGACTTATGAACAGCATGGCTTCCATCAGATATGCTAAGCTAAGAACGGAGCCCTTAACCTTTCATGGGATATCATTAGTAATAAAGAATATATCAAAGATCAAACTTGCTATATTATTTTCATTTCTTTTAACCTAGATACATATATATCATTCAAGACATTCAAGAACTACAAAACAACAATTCAACTACAATTATGTCAGGAAAATATCCAAATAAATAAACTTTTAATTATGATACAATACTTATTACAGTAAAAATTGGCATTTTTTCTCTTCAAAAGCAGAAGCACCAGTCTTACATATAACATATTGTTTGAATGATATCTTACATGGAATACAGCGTAATACAATGTGCAAACAGCATCTTCATACAGAACATAATATTTGTCTAGTTTTTATACACTGAAATCACCTCAAATGGAAACATGTTCATGCTCAATTAAAAATGTAGATTTTAAAAATCAAAGTTAAATCAAAATACAAAGTACTGTTGGAATAGGTATATGAACCATTAAAAACAATGAGAAGCCAAAATAGAGGGTATTATAATTAGTGCTCAGTTTGTCCCATTCCATCATAAAAGTAAACAGTTAATATTTTTGCTAGAAAGTAAAGTGACGTTCTAATATTTAAGAATTCTTCAAAATGTTGGTATCATTTTAATGATGTAAAAATCAAGTCAGAAATAGGACTTTTAAAAATTTCTTATTTTTGATACACTGCAAATATCATGTGTGGGCTGTGAAAAGAGATGAAGTCCAATGGAGTGAATACACATCAGCATCAACATCATGTGACTTCTGCAAAGGCCGTGATGTGGTTCTACAAGTTAAAGGAAAAACAAACAGATAAAAACCACAAAACCACACAGATAGACAGCAGTCACCATAATTTCTGCCTCTTGAGCTTTAAAGGTAGCCTTGTGCTTGGAGACTGTTGCAGGATAATGCAAATAAAACTGGTTTTCACTGCAGTGCTCTCACTCTCAAGGCAATTCTTTGTAAACCACTGAAAGACTGGGTGGGAAGAATGCTGAACAAAGTTATTAGGTGCAATGGTTCTACAATATTTTAGTTTTAGATGGTTTGGATTTTTTTTTTTTAAATGAAGTAACGATGTGAATAATTGAGTTAGCTTATTCATGATTTAAAACAAAATTCCTAGAAATTAAAATTACCATTTCTGACAGATTATAACTTTCTATTTCAGTGTATGTAAAATTTTAATATTAATTTTTTAAAAGAATAATTTCTCCCCCTGAGCTCGATGGCCCTGAATCAAGTTGCAAAATGCTGCAAGCAAATTGCATTCGGCAGCTGAGAACCACATTGAAAATTTCTTTTTCAGAATCACTACAGTGTCCTCTTCACTTGCTATGTAAGAACATTTTCCTCTTTCTGTCAATGGGATGATCCTTATGAATACAAAGATGTGTATCAGAATGTGAATATACTGTGTGGGACTCTACACAGTGAAACTGCAGCATCCCAAAGAGCTTTGCTACTTTTTCATACTCTAACCTAAGCAAGTGACTGCAAACATTCAACAAATCTCAACTGCACAGTGATGTGCAGGATCCAAAGGAAGTGTATGTTCCCTTGAGGCACTCAGCAACCTTGACTGCCATCATTTTTTACAAAACATGCAATGTGTAAAATTAATCAAGAGAATCTGGATGTTAGGCCATGTGTTTGCTCCCCAGCACAAAAATGCACACGGGGTAAAATACCAAGCAAAGCACTGCAGATTTTTCTCATCACTTTGCCTCCTGGAGCAGACCAAAGTCAGAAGAGAGGAGGCCTAAGCTGAAGAGGAAGAGCTATGTGGATAAACTGGGGAGAGTGGGACCTCCTGTTTTCTGCTTAAGGGAAGTCCTTCAGAAAATCTTTTTATTACACAGCACAGAAAGTGCTGGAGAGAAAAAGTGGACACTACCTAAGTTTATATTTCTCAGTTTTGCTTTAAATTGTCGGAATATTTGTCTATCAGTCTGTGCAGGGGGAGGCAGGCATGCATCTTTGATTTGCACATTCCAAAAAGGAGAACAGAAATACCATGACTGGGAGCACTGGAGAGTTGTCCCTTAATCCCCCCTCTCCAAGCCAGGCTGTCAGCTTTGCTCCCTCTCTCACTCTCACTGTGCTGTAACTGTACTGTGTCCAGGAGGAGGAGAAGCTGTCTTCCACCTCCCCTACAACATGTATTTTAGCTCTAGCAATGTTCTTGCTGTATTTTACGACAGCTTTCATAAGAGAATACTACCAAAAGCATCTACACTATCAAAAGCATCTATATAAATTCTTCTCCAAAACAGAATGAGTGTATTTTAAATAAATAGCAGTTATTAAACCATAAGCAGTTTTTAAAGAAGCATTAGGGAAAAAAGTGTGCAAATTTCTGTGAAAAATGTTTTCAGTGAACAATATTAACAAATATCACTGCTTGCAGATTTTGATTCTGCAGAAGAAATGGAAAATTACATTTCCTAATTAGAAAACAAAAATTAAGAATGCAAAGCATTTTGGTTGGTTGGCCATCTTCTGTTTTCAGTACACAAAAGACGATATACGAGCAAACTCAACGACTCTGGAGTTGCTGTGAGGTTATTATGACGTTTTCTTCATAGTATTTACTTTATTTGTCCTTATTTGGACCTGAAAAGTCACCCTGTCAACTTAAACTATCATCAGTCTAAAATTATTCACTTTGTTAATAAGTAAGATGGTCTAAAAACAAAGAATTGGAGGGAAAAAAATTTCCTCTTTTTTTAATCAATTCTTTCAAGTCCTGCTATGTGCCATCCCTTTCCCTAAGTGACACACATTTGTCTATGATGCAGAGAACCAATTGCTCTTTCATGTGAGATTAATTCAGGACTGGGTAACTATTATTTAAGGAAAGTAGAATCTGGTTCACAGTCCTGCCAGCTATACACCCAAAATGAGTGGGTCCCCATGCCTGGAAGGACATGCAGAGGCATGGGACACAGTAACAGAAGAAAATCTCCCTTCCTCAATAAACCCTCAAAAAGAACTGCTAAGCTCCTGATCACGGACCTATTGATTTGGACCTTCATAAAGGCCTGTCAATTCATTTCCAATGGACTCAGCAGGGTGATGCATAACTAGGTCAAAATTAATCACTTGCTGATGGCAAGAATCACTGATACAGATTCATGCAGCTGTCTGGTTATTCATGGTTTTTCACATTATCGTCTCAGGCAAAATTATAAATAAGCCTTGCTGAGATTCAGTACAAAAAAAATAAACAAACAGCATCCTTCCCTCAATAACTGCATTTAAACTCTTTTACTTCTGCTTAGGTTTACTGTCAAAAAGTTCAGAGTGAGATACTAACTACTGTCAGCAAACAGATGCACACAGATGCAGGAGACAAGCGGAAAACATGCACAAGATCTCAGTTTCTCCAACTCCATGGGAAATTATTTTCCCTACAGTACTCAGAAGAATTAGAAATGCTGAGGGTCTGCTCAATGGCAGCAGTTTCACAGACTGTGCCCACCAGTGTTTGTACTATCCATTCTAAATAGACAGTATCAGCTTGGTGAGCAAAGCATGCATCATAACCATGCTCTCACACCGTAACAAAAAAGGGAAAGCTAAAGGCTAAGCCTTGAGTGCAGGTCACTTGGGGAAACGATCCACACCTGTATATCATCTGTTAAGTTTTAATTAATTTCTGTTCATAAGCAATGCTATAATGTTAAGCATTGAAAAAAATACATTCAAACTTCTTATGACTTGCAGTTTTCATTATATATATATATTAAATATTCATCATCCTTAAATTTTTTCATTTTTGAAAATAGGAATTTGTAAAACTGTTTTTAGTCCTTCCACAGTAGAGTTTGTTAAAAGAAGCAGAAAAATACTATGGTAATAGTTCAGGCAAATCATAATTGATCAAACAATTCTCAGAGTCGGCACAGTAGATTTTATGCTTTTACTAGACAATCACATTTTTAGGGGGGGAAAAAAAAGGCATTCAAGTGAAATTCCCCATTTCAAACGTTGCAGACCTGCACAGAACGCTGCTGCCACACTGCATCTGCCTTGGTTCTCTCACACGCTCTCTCAGGTGCGCTCTTGCGCACATACGTTTATTGCCTTATGCGGAGGTGCTCGAAACGGTCTGTTCCTGATATCCAGGAGAAGAACCTAACGAGGCGAGCTTTGAGGGAGTTTCGCTGCAAAGGATCTTCTTGATTGTTACTAACACCTTGATTCTGTAACACCTACAACAGGTATGATTGAGGAGGTCACACTGAATATATTGTTCCACTTAACGTATTTAAGTATTATTTTATTTGAACATTAGACATGGTGATCATAGTTTGCATTCAAACAGAAATAGTTCTTGTACAGTCCCCTAGAAGCTGATTTAAGCAGAAGAGTAGGACAGGAATGCAAATTCAACTGCTTGGCATTGAAAAAAATTGCTTAAGGTTTTTTATAAGCTGACTCTCCAGGGTATGTGATTCTGTGTGTGAAACAACGTTGTTTTTTCATTGTATCTCCTTTAATAGACTGTATTATCAAGAGAGAACCATTATGCCAACAGAAATTTGAAAAATGCCTATAAGCTAATGTAAGCATGGGAGTTCTCCTCAAGCTTATCTGGAGAAAGAGTTTATGGATACTTATGTATGCTTTTGGTCATCAAGCACTACAGTATTTGGATATTTATACTAAAATATTTTGGAGCAACAGAAATAGACACAAACCATCTTCCCCATTTGCTCATAGCATGATGAGCTAAAACATCTTTGTGTTTTGCTTTTAGCTGTGAGCTCAGTGAGAGGTGTTCAGTCTCCCTGGAGAGCTGCAGGGATCAGAAGGACTCCCTAGGCCATGCTGCCGTGTGATCACAAGTGCACATAATAAATACTATCAGAACTCATTGCAATATCTACACTGACTACTGTTAAAAGGTTTCATCACCACTACCTTTGGCACACACACAATAGAACAACAACTATAGTGTCAAACTCAACAAGATTTCTGGGACAATTCACCCTGATAATAGCAACTGGTATGATGGGCAACAAGAACATCATGTATAATGAGAGGAATTCCAAATAATTATGACCACTAAAAGGTGGAAATGGCAGAAAAAGAGAGCACTTAATCTCTCTCTTTCTAATTCAGTCATGCTGGATAGACAGTCCCATGGGTGAAGTATAAGAAACCACTTTGTAACAAGGAATAGTGACTGTGTTTTGGAACATGGTTTGGGCACTGCTGACAGCAGTGGTAGTATGAAGGAATGGCAAACAGAACTTGGGGAATAAATGCAGTTTATCTGTCCAACAGCGCATTGCAAAGAACCCACTGTGCAAATAAGTAACACTGAATAGCTACAGAAAGAACTGATTATCAGACATGGTAATTATCTCATCCCACAGGAGACGACCTAGCCAAACATCTCCTGACCAAACATTTCCTTCTAAAACCTTCTCTCTTACTATTCTATCTACTGCCTCAGTTAGTCCTAAAATGGTCCATGTTTCCTTTGTACTTGATTTTTTCAAGCTAGAATACTTATTTAAGAAAAAAACAACAACAACAAAAAAATCACAACCAACCAAAAACTAAAAAACAGGCTAGGAAAATCAGAAGCTACTACAAGGCACGCATGGAGTCCTCTGTGAGGCCCAGCGAATTTCAGGTGAATTTTGCATGAAATATGGTCAGTCTCTCCTGAAACAGAAAAAACACAGTCTGTGACTGCACTAGATGAAGCTGAGCTTTTAAACTCTTTCAGGTACCACCCAGAATATCCCTATTTCTCAGTAAGTCTTGCAAAAGAACAGGAGTCTCTAACATTGACTGTGGTAGAATGAGAGCTTACTCTTTGTAGGAGAATGCCAGCTAACTGAAACACATATTGTCTTGTAAGAGATGAACAAGGTCAGAGATAGGAAAGAAGAAAGAGCAGATGGGTGAGTGATGAGGTTTCTTGGCTTCCATTCTTTTCATTAATTCTGAGTACGATTGTAGTTAAGGTAAAAGCACTAAGTCTGCACTGCTGAGCCAGCTCTGGCAAGGATTCCTCAAGGAGACACTGCAACTATGGTTTAAAATGCATGAGGAGTGGGTACCCGTGCAGAACAGCTTAATCATCTGCACCACAATTAAACACAAGTGTCATGCAAACAGTCATCTAACCTTGTCATTAACCAGCAGCAGCTCAATTCAGAATATTACAAGTACACTTATTCCTATTTAAGTGCACTTCAAATGTAGCTCGACCTCCACCAGAATTCAGACAGTGGCAGCACAGCAAGCATGCCAAGAGCATTCATCCTCCATAGAGAAAGCACTGGAATAGCAAGTAGCAGATCTGGAAACAGAAAAGTAACGTGCTTCCAGGTCTGTGTGATGCACCCTGTGCTTATTCATTTGGAGGTGAATTTGTAACAAAATAGCAACGAGTGAGGCCCTATCTGGTGGGCATTTCTAAAGAAGTCATTCTTTAAGACAGGATCTTTGAATAGCTTGCTCCCAGATACCTATACCTAAAAATAATAGTTATTATTTTTAAACACCAATCACAATTGCATTGCTTCATGCTTGCACTGCCTTAGCCTTTGATAACTTCAGACAGTTAGGATTTGTGCTACTCTTAGTACCTAATTTCTGGCAGTAAGCTCTCTTTAATATTGGTAGAGGAGCCTGCAGACTGAAAATAAGGAAATACAGCTTTAAAATAAGCCAAAAGTAAATCTATGTGCATTCAGATGTTGAACTGGAACAGTCCTAACTGAAATGTACTGAAAATCAACTTGCACATACCCAAGCAAAAGCAAATAGCATACAAATTATTTAGCATTGCTCTGTCTCCAGTGAAGAGCAAAGGATGTAAAATAAGAAGGGAGTTAAAAAGCAAAGACTAAATTAATAATTCTTGTAGTGATAGTAATTAATTGAGATTTACTAACTTAATTTAGACCTAAGTATTATTCTTACTGCCTTTTATTTAACAGGGTCTGTCTTCTATCTAAAATTTTAGACTAAACATTTAATAAAGCAAAAAAAAAAAAAAATCCACAAAAACTCAAAACCTAAGGCACTCACATGTAAAAAATTTTTCATTAATTATTTGCTAATTCAAATTTAAACTGAGAGTGGAAACAGAAGAAAGCATTTCCCAACAATAAGCAAAGTCTCCATGTTACTGTCCTCGCATCCCATCCTCTGTGTCCGGAAAGGAGAAAGGCTTTGCAACACAGACAAAGATGAACCCATACACTGAGATCTCCCCAAGTGTTACCGCCCTGCAGACAGTCTCCAATTTAATTATCTAGAGAGAAGTTCCATGCCAGCAAACAGCTACTGTCTACTGCCCCAGGAATACGGGTTCAGCGTGAAAGAAGCTCGTTCATATTAGAGTCCTGGGCAGCTCACAAATAACTTTCGCCACAGCATCTCAAACTAGGCCAAGTCTCAGGAAAAGAACATTATTCAGCACAAGTGAGAGGGTTATTAGCTATGATGGCTTTAGAGCCACAGAAATGTCTTCTATTGTAGGAGAGCCGAGCATGTAAATAAGACATGCTCTTAATGTGGTATGTCCTAGGACAACTGACATCTTGTTTTGTTTTGACATTTTACAGAAAGTTTACTGAATGGATTATTTTGAAGATACACACTCGTCATGTAAATACTTGTTCAAACAAATGAGACTCTGACCTCCTTATGACAAGATATCAGCAGAAGTAGCTTAGACACATTTGGTTCAAAAAGGCACGTTAGACCATCCTTAAAAGAAACCTTCTTTCCCTTCAAGGAAAGGAATAAAACACCCAGGGCTAGCAGTAATTCTTCCTAAAGGACAACTTAGCCACTTCCAAGTGGCTAAGACAGGATGGGAAGTGGTTAAAAACATTTCTTCTTAAAAGAATGCCATAGAAAAGTACTTTTGTGCCCTTCCCATTGCAGAATTGTTCACTATCCATTTCAGCACTTGTTTGCTCATAAAATTGTTCAGACATAATCTTACTTAACACACAGTACAACATCATCTTCAAAAAACATAACTAAAATAAATTTTAAACACATCGTGATACTTATTCAAGCAAAAAGTTTTGGCATACCCAGGAGACTATCACTAGCATGCCCTTGTTCAAAATCCTCTTTGCTTTGACAAGAGATCCTGGGGTCTGTGCAGTTACTGTAAGACCCATGTTATTCTCACTTCCAAGTAGGTGCCCTGTCCTGGGGTTAACATGTGCCTGATGATCCAGAAGGGATGGGATGCTCAACAGCCTGAGGACATATCATAAACAAATAGGATAAATGACACTTATACCTGAATTGCATAACCCCTTGGGTTCAGAGGTTAGATTTTCTTTCCAAGCACTTCAAGTTCTGTGGAGTGTCACTGAATTAATTCTTCCTTCTTTCTCCTTCACTGATATGTCTCCTTATTTTAAATCTGATTACCTTGGCACTCTTGTTAAGATAGTTTGGGATCATCCTTTCAGGAAAGCTACATTTAATTTCATTGTTTTAAAAAAAGTCAGACATTACCTTTTCTAAAGGGCTTTCTACTCGGGGTATGCTGATCATGGGCATCTGGGCCAGATTATCCATATGAGAATGCTCATGTTCTGCCTGACGTCCTCTGAAGTTATTTACCACACAAACAACCTAGAAGGGATTAGAAGAAAACAGAATAGCTAAGGAACAACTCATTTTTTTGAGCTTTGATCTTGACATCCATAATTAGGCAGAAATGACACCAGCTTTAGTCACAGCTTTACAATAGAAACACTGAAATGTGAAGTTCGTGTTTTACAGAAAATCTGTAATTAATATTTCAAGACAAAAGACTTTCAACCAATTTATTGTTACATGCATCATTTGAGAACTAAAAACCCCCCTGATATAAAGAAAATCCTATATAAAGAAAATCCATTACTGAATCTGAATAATAGAACACCAATTATCAATGTCATGAAGAGATGTCCAGAGCACATGCAGCAGCACATGGCATTAGCCTTAAACTCCAGTGAAGGCCAGCCCCCTAAGTTTTGATCAGCAAAGACTTCTTCAAATGGAGAGTGAGAAAGGGAACAAGAAGGCAAGGACCATGCCCAAGTTTAAATACAACTCTAAATCTGCTCAGGGCAGCAGTAGTTCTCCCTCAGGGACTTAGGAATGTGATATACACCAGTTTGTTTGTATTTCTACTTATTCAGATGCTCAGCTGAGTAGCAATGTTTGCCAACTGAGTTTTCTTCAAAACACAACTAAATTTGATATCATGCTACTCAAAGGAGTTTATGCCGTATACATCACAAAATATAAGAAAAAATGCTGGGAGAGATTTCTTCTTCTCTATTCTTTTCTATTACTTTAGGGGCATGAATAGAACATAAAAACTCAAATAGGAACCACCAAATATAACTCCTGGACACCTTGTGTGGAAAAGAACATTTGGAAACGCAAGCAGGTATATTTTAAAGGAGACCTGCAGCTGCCCTTGCATGTCTCAGAGTGAAAATACCCACCACAGCCAGGCCTGGGAGGGTTCTCAGCCAAGCCAAGTCTTCAGATTCAAGATCTTGAGACAAAGACCTTGTAATCCAAGAACCAAATTCAAAAGTGTTTTCATGGGGGAAAAATTCACGGCTGTACTTAGTACTATTACAAGCAGCCAGGCAGACAAACTTGCAGGCAGCAAACAGCAGTGACTGTTCTATTCTATAGACTTGCACTGCAGATATTAGTGAAGGTGATTAACAGATTAGAAATAGCTCTCTGACACAGACACTAGTCATTGGAAACTGTGATTAACAATCAGGTTTTGGAACACAGCTCCAGTAAAGGAAAAGGCTAAACAAAGATTTTTTTTTTCTTTCATACAGAATAACGTAAAATTTCAATGTAAACCTGAATCAACATGAAATAAATTCATTAGGGTTACTTTAAAGTCAGAAAAACAAATGTTACCTATTCTCTGATCAGTGTAGGTATCGCTATATCAAATGTAATACTTTATACATGAAATAATGACTATTTGTTTTTCTGTGGCATATATAATTCCTTAAAGTGGGCCTTGATGCAAAAATTACTGTTTGAAATGCTACAGTCTGGTTTATATGGAAGTCAAAAGAGATCACTAGATCTGTCCTTTCCTGACTTCACATTTGTGAGAGAGTATGTAAATATAATTAAGCAAACTGATAACTAATAAAACCCCCTAAAATTAGAAACACATCTTTTGTCATTTAGTTGTCTGGATTTTTTTTTTTTTTTTTTAGAGATGCAAACTTAAACATTGATTTTTTTCAAACAGAAGTTACACAGATACACACTTACCAAGAATACTGCTATAGATATTCCAATTACAAATCCTGCTATTACATCTGACCAGTGATTTCGATACTCTGCTACTCTGTTGATTCCAGTAAGGAAAGCCAAGCACATTAAGCCCAAACATAGAACAGGTTTTGCAAGCCTTGTTCCTCTGGCTTTCACTGTATTGGTGATATACATCTGAAAATTAGAAAGGAAGAAAGTGTAAGATTGATGGATCTCTTCCACTAATTAGTGAACAAAAGCTCTACATTTTGTTTAACAGACTGTGTATTTGATGGTTGGAGTTTGGTTTTTTTTGGCAGGGAAGGTGGTAAAGAACTTAGAAAATAGAGCACTACATAAAGTCACCACACTCTTTTCCTTGGGATATAGACATAGAAGCAGACTATACAACAAAATTACATTTTATATGAACCTGAAGAGCCCACAGAAAACCAGGTAAATTAAATAATCCTACCCTTTTTCTCCCTAACTATGTATTTATTTAATTTTATACAGGTAAAAAGACTGATTTTCCACTGTGCAGTGCTGATAGTTACAGAAAAAGATCTTTGCTCTGAAAGGAGCTTCATAAAGACCTTGTTTCTATTAGCAAATGCCTTTTTTCCTTATACACCACTTCTTCATGTGACTAATCAGTGATTTGTCAAAAATCAGTGAAAAGGTGAAAGAAAAGTGTCAAAGAGCAGTGCAAATTAAATTAAATGCCAGCATTTACTTTTATAAATAACATGTAATGGTTTCAACCAGTGCTGAACTAATACAACTCTGTACTTCACGCAAACCAATCGAAATGCAGCAAGTTTTATGCATCAGACTGCCAGAAATCCATTTGCCCTGCTTGCAGTCTGACTTTCCCTGTGCAGTATTACTGAATTAAAAGCACTGCCTGATGGCAGAGAAGCTCTTCTGCCCTAAGGTGCATCTGTGACCAGCAGGTTTAAGCCAGCACTTCACAAGCTCTGATAGGCCAAGGGAAAAAATGAATATAAAATATTGAATATCCTTTCTCTTGAATCTCAGCATTAGGACTGGTTCAAAGACATCTCCACTCTCCAAAAAAAATTAATACTTAAACTGACAAGATTTTTGAGGAAAAAGTTTCTAATTTCTGCAATTAAACCACTGAAATCCTTCAATCTTCAAATTTTAAACAGAGTTCAAGTGTTTTGAAGGAGGGAGGCAAGTATTTCCTACGGAGTTTCACTAGAGAATCCACATGTGTAATGCCATCACTTTGAACTGCAAAGAGAAACAGATGAATCTCTATTGAAGAACCAGAACCACCTTTCTGGCCAACAAATGGTTTTGTTTTTTTCTGTACTGTCTGAAACTTCAGTGGAATTTACTGGGTAATCAGTTAATGAAGTGGTTCAAATAATCCAGTCAAGAACTGGTTTAGGAAGTGTGGTTACAGTTATGATAAATTAAGTGATAAAGTAGTGGAAAGAGTTTGTTCAAAAAGAGCAACATATAACAATAATTTTGTTCAAAACACTAAAGAAAGATTTACAGTTTGGAGAATGAAACAAAACTTAATCTTCAAATCACATCAGAGTAACTGCAACACACAAATCTTCAGTGTACTTTATATGATGAACAGCAAACTAGTAGCAAGCTTTCCACTAATTCAGACAGAGTAAATAAAGGTTTGAAAAAAGAGGTTTGGGATGAATCTCCAGGCCACATGTTTCTTCCTCTCTTCTTCCTAGACCATTTAAGAAATATTTTGCTTACTATCCTTTTATCTTAGCTCCTTATATTTTTGCAGGCTATCTGCAGTTGAGTTACTCTCACCATGCAGAAGGTTGGACAACTGCCACTCTAATTTCCAGCTTTTTAGCCCCACTGGTTTTCTACAAGCTAAAAACAGAGTAATGCACAATGAATTAACTCAGCAGCCTTCTATTTTAGTGAGTCTCATTGTAGTCCTGGGTACTACCACCATTATCCACATTCACACTACATGCTAAGACATCTGGTGATAGCAAAAATATTCAAATATTCTGAATACACAGTAAGAACAGCTTGGGTTAAGCTGACACAGGGGAGTTGTCAGGAAACTATCCTGCATATAATTCTGTATTGTGGCATGTTAAATTGAAATTACTCCTGAGAAGGAAAAACCTGCTTGCTTAAGGCAGGTTGCAGTGACATATTTCAGTTATCTGTAACACCTGATCATCGCTCAAGAAGAATATCTGAACTTTTATTAGGACAAAAGACATAATACAAATAAGTGATTCCGCATTACTTCAGTCAGACTTCAACATTTTTAATACAAAGCTAAACTGAAAAGTGCTGTGCAGAAAATTTTCAGAATCTTTTTACAACCAAGCATGTCCTTCAAATTCCTACTCAGACAAAGCACTGAGGAGAAACAACCACATGCTGTGGTTGAACACATTCATGCTGTGCCTCACACGAGTAGTAACGACCTCCATTTGTCAAGTCCCTTCCTATATGTGCAGTCAAGATTGTCATGCCCAGTTCATTACTCGAAATAAGGGTTCTGAGAGTCTGTCAGCATAGGTACCATTTCTGTCTTTCCTTTAAAGAACAGGTACCACTAATGTTAAGAATAGCATTATATTAAAATATTAAGGAATTAATAGGAACAAGGAAACTTTTCCTGAAATAATGTAATGAAAAGTCTGTATATTTGTAAAACTCTATAGAGCAAATGTAGCCTTTTTCAAGGCAGGATTCATAGATAATCCATTTTTACACTTGACCTCTTGCAGCTCTAGAACAATATATTAACACAGTCCACTCAAAGATCTGATTTGCATTAAGAAAAAATTACCATTAAGCTGTTGTTTTTTTCTTGATTCTGGTGGAAAAGCTACAAACTAGGACAGTTAGTAATTGACAAAGAATAAACATCTTGAAAAGATGACAGGATTTTTCTTCTCTTACTTTTAATAAATATTAATGTATTATCAACAAAGGAAAATAGCTCAGTGATTTTAAAACATTAGTAAGAATGAATGACAATATAATTTTTTATAGGGCTAAAGATGTTTACTGAACAACTTCATCTCAGTTCCTTTTAAAGAAAAAAAAATTGGGAGACCAGTAATCTAATTAAAGAAAACTTTTAAATTAGTCAACAGCAAAACCAGCAGCAGAGATTTTGTAAGGTCGAGGATTGATACAGTAGTTAAAATTAATTTGGGAGGTTGCACATTCTTCTGCAGCATTAGATCAGTGATGAATCTTCTCTTGAAGAACCTCTGCTAGAGCTTTTCCTTTTTCCTGAAATAAGATTTTGGTATTAAAAGATATAAAGGCGACACCAGGACGCAGACAGTGTCAGTCATACAAGGAGGTGGATTGTCATCTGATCACACAGCATAACAATATTTACTAGATTTTCAGAAAAACGCAAATATTGACCTTCAGTCTTCAAGATGCTGGAAGTGAAACTGTCAGAGAATGCTGTAACTTGAAAGAAAAACTTTAAATGAAGTGGGTTTGAAAAAAATGCATTTCAAAGATCAAAGACAAAGCAAGCTACCTGTTTCTGACATGACTGGCTCAGAGCATAGTGTAAGGAACAATCATAGCATCGACACTTTGCTTGTGCTGGGAAATATTTCAAAAGCATCACGTTGCAAGGCTTATGTGAAATATGCCCCAAATCTTGTGCAAGTAAAATCATTCCAAAACACATAATTTTATGTTTTGTGTGGAACAAAGTTGACTCCTGGGCTGTGCTGCAAGCTCTTCCTAAGCATCTTTCAGCTGTCTTTAGGCCCGCCCACATAAACAACTGTGCAAACAAACACACATGGAACAGGTCCCAGACTCCCATTTTAGTTGCAGGCGAGCTAGACATCAGCCTGGGTGCATCAGCCAGGAGAGAGGCTACTTCTCCTAGCTGATTTCATCAGCCTGGGGCCCAGGTATGCCATGAGAAGATTCCTTCATTCCTCCCTGATGCAGATGGTGCAGGGGATTGACCAATCCATCAGTGGGCAGTGAATAACGACTCATGAAGCAGAATGAGGAAGGAATCACTGTACAGGCACCTATCTGAGGCAGCACTTCAAAACTAAATTATCTCATGTTTTGTTTTGCTTTTATAGTGTGCTATCATTAAAGAAATAATATTGAACTACTCAAGTAATAGAAGAAATGTTATAAATGGCCCATCAAAGGAACTTTCAATATTCATCATACCTACGAGAATAAGGACACTTGGAGATAAAAAAGTTGAAAAAATAGAGGGCTGTAGTAGTCTATGACCAGGTTCAATGTTTAGTTAGAATCCTGTTTAACAATCTAAAATTTCTTCAGCTTCCTCTGTTAATAATTATTTCTAGAGCAAACCACAGTCATATTCTCAAATCATCTGGGTCTTTCTGCAACTACCCACTGAAGATCTTTTTTAGTGTTTCTGAAGCCTCCTCCAGCTTTCTCCATATGTTTTGCACTTATTACTGATGACCCTAGACAAAAACCAGCTTTCAAAGTCAGGGGTCTGGGTTGGCAAAAGGAAAAGAAAGCTCTAGAAATTCTGAACCTTAATATTTGTTTTACCACTATAAGCTTCCCAGAGCTGTAACTGTAAACAGCTGGAGAAGGAAAGAGGTATCTTTCACTGTACCAGGAATACAGAGGTTGTTATTTTGAGCAACTGAATTGTCATGAAGAGCTGACTAGCATGAAACAACTGTAAGTCTTTAGATAAATTCCAGGATCAAACTATAATGTTAATTTTATTATTCAATCTGAAAGTAACCAATACACTCAACATATGAAACCCATGATGTACGTTGTACACTTAGTATGGAGGGATACTTTTACTTGCTGCACCAGATACCAAAGAGAAATTCCATTTTCCTAACACTGCCCCTGAAAGACAACACAAAGAATCCTTTAATTTTTTAATTTCCTAACAAAAAATGGACAAAGTTCACTCAATAAGGTGGCTCTGCTACTCCTTTTTCTCCTAAACACTCCCAAAAGTCTATCAGAGGCTTATTATGCCTCCACCAGCTGCCCATTTAGCTGGAGTCAAACAGGCACTTCAAGACAAAGGACAGCTGAAACTAGACCTGAAGCTAAAGACTGGATCAAGGAAGGACACTGTCACCATATTGCCAGCACTGTGACCCAGACTGCCTTGCTGCCTTTCCCCAGGGACTTACAAACACACTAAACGGTAAAAATGATGCAGCAGAATGCTAGGAGCAAGAAAAGATGATCACAGGTCAAACAACAGCTCTGCAGAGAAGAAGAAACTATTTGCAAGTTTTACCTGGTAGTCCTGTCTGAGGCCATAGATGAGGCCAAGGGCTCACAGTACAAAGCAACATAAGCTGCCTACAGACTCAAGGGCTGTGTTATCAAGACATTAAGCCTGTTCCTCTGTTATTACAAATCCAAAGGAAGTCTGAAACATATGTGATAACACCAAGTTCAGAAACTTCCCTACAGACTGATTGGCTGCCACCTGCTCTTGTCCAATGCAATAAGAACAAAAAAAAAAAAAAAAAAAAAAAAAAAAAAAAAAAAAAAAAAAAAAAAAAAAAAAAAAAAAAAAAAAAAAAAAAAAAGGTAAAACTTTAGAGAATTAATTAAAATTTGTCTTAAACTACAACTAGCAATGACTAATCCCCTAGGTCTGAAGTACCAAAGGACAATTGGTAGTCACAAGTCTTATATTTAAAACTATGGGAATAGGTTGACTAAATCTTCATATATCATTTTGAAACCCTACCAAAAAAAGACTCATGACTTCTCATTTCTGTGTCTCAGTTGTGGAAAAATCCCCAAGTACGTGCATACTTGGCTGCTTCAAAACATCCCTCTAATTGTCCAGGCTGTGTCAACTAACACATATCAAAATCTGGCTTATACAATTCTACCCTAAAGATGCAGTGTTTGCCTTAATATCTATGTTAGCAAATGTTCCAGCTGAGAAAGGGTGAATTGCAATGCTCATAAGAAATGAAAGCAGATGCAGTCATCTTCTTAACCCAACTCAAGCAAAAATAAACAAAAGGTCTCCGATGAGTTGAGCAGATACCTAAGAAAAACCCAGGCAGTAGCCAGCTTGGTTAGAGATTTCAGAACAGATTTTCAGTAGTTCATTTTGAATACACTGGTACATTGGGAAAAATAAACCTGAAAGTCTGAAGAAGACATCATTGAGAGCATGTCTGGAGCAGGGTAGAGAAAGCATCTAACCGTAGTGCTGCCATTCCACATTTCCATTGCTAAGTCTTTCCTGAAAGAAAGCAATGGAGGAAAACATTTACAAAGAGGTCTAAATATCAGCAATACAACTGTTTGAAAAAGACTGTACTTTCAAGCAGGAGGGGAATTCTGGGTTACCATAGCAGCCACCCACTCTCAAAAGTGGGGAAGAGGGGAAAAAAGAAGTCAAGAACTCAGATGAGAAAAGAAGCTATTGTTAACAAGACAATATGCTAGGTGATAAGAATATGGCTGCACTTAAACGGAGTGAGATAGGAGCATTATTAGATAAAGCACAGGCTTTGCTTCTAAATGGGTTGACCGATTAAATCACGAAAGTCTGACAGTGAAATCACACAAGTCTGATGGCATTTACTTCACCCTTCAGAGAGCAAGGACTTGGATCAGCTTGTTGTGTGGTTTTGGTCTTTAAGCTGGTTTTGTTTTGTGCTCAACTGGCTAAAATATCCAGGGAGGATTCTGTAACAATCTCTCCCTCTCCCAAATTTCTGTTAACCAAACACAAAGCATATTTTGTACCAGAGATTATATGCTAATTAAATACTGAGTAATATATGGAGATTTTTATGTCCCCGCTCTCAATAACTGTTGTAACATGGCTCAAAGACTAGGCTACTGTTTTAAATCTTCTACTCCAGTGAACAGTGATGAGAAAATTGTTATTTAGGGCCAACTATCCTCACAAACATCATGTCAATGTAAGGACATGACCCCAAATATTGGAATATGGCAATTTTTTTTCCCTGGTGTGTAATAAACAGTATTTTTAGCTTCAATCATGCAGTAGGATTAAAAAACAAAAACAAAAAAACCACCTGCCAATATTGTATCATTGCATCAAGGAGCTACTATAAGAACTCAGAAATCTTAAGAGCAGCTTACAGTGCTTCAGCTAAATGATGACAGTGTCATGCATCGTGCAGTGATACAGTAATGACCTAGAATATATTTCTGCAGGTACTGAAAGAGCACATAAGTCATGACAAGGATCACAGCAGTTTTAGTTTTTGATATCACTAACTGTATATTGACCAGAGGCAAGGTTTGCATAAAGTATTCCTTGCTTACGGCAAAAGCCACTGATACCAGGCATTACTAATGGCTACTTTTTGTTTTTAAAATGTATAAATATGATTTTACTTCCTGCTTTGCAGTAGCTGAACAGTTGGTTTCCTTTAGTTACTGTGACTCATGGCAGCAGTGGAAATACAACTTTACAGATGGATGAGAAAAATAGGAGCAATTAAAATAAAAATTCTGAGTATTTTCTAAAATAGCTTGCACCAAATTTAGAGGTATGTTTCAGTGAAGCAAAACCTTAGATATCTCCTCAAATAAAGACAATACTATCAGAAGACTTACAGTTGCCTCAAGTTAGAATAGAATATTATTGATCATCTCTTATTTGCAGGTAACACTCGCCTGTACTAACTATTAATCCACCCCTCTTAAACGACATTGCTCTCAAGCAACTTTTGAGAAATGTTACTGTCAGTGCTGCAGATTTAATCAACTGGTTCTAAAATCATATGCAGAAACACAGAGTTGACACACTGTCTGTGGATGGGTTGATCTTTGCCACATTGGCAAATATCAGTTTCCAGATCAATCAGGAATTAAATTGGGTCATTCAGAATATGCTCGAAAGCAATACACACTCACACAGTTATATCTACGTGTGCACACACACACATACATGTCTAGGCAGGCCACTGTTCAAATACTGTGGGAATCAAAGGGATGACTCCTGCAATGACCGCAGAGGTGTGTACACACACACACTCACACACACACTCTCACACACCTGGCTTCCCACCGATACTTCGAGGGCAGCCCTGGGCCCATCCAGAGGGCTACAAAGGACTGTGATTATCAGCGCAGGTCAGGTCAGAGACTCCCACAGGTGCGTGCTGGGGACAGCACATGAACAAGATTTGCTCCTGCTTAAGACTGGAATGATATGCACTCCAAACTAAGCCAGTGATACTTCACAGAGTTACATTAGTGAGATTAATAGGTCACTCTTCCTCTGCCCTGCCTCTCCTCAGCCTATACAAGAGCTCTGATGCCAAGCAGTAAAGATTAGTTTACTGTAAGAGAGAGGAGAGAGGGGGGGAAAAGGGTGGATTGTCCTGTAGCCCACCTCACTGCGTAAGAGCCAAACTGATTGCATGAGCAGTGAGGTATCTATAATGCCAATCCTGGTACCAAACGACATGCACAAACCTCAGGGAACCTGCAGATATCAGATGTATATATATGTCCCCCTTCTGCTTCACCCCACAAAGAATGCAGCCATGTGCAACTCTACTGATCTGTACTGGGTTAAAACATGGAAAGGAACCACTACTAGTCAGAGGAAATCCCTACTCTTATTCTTTACCACCCAACAAAGTGTCGTCCCACAAGCTCTGGAAAAGGGGAAAAAGTAAACCAAAAAACTGTTTATCCTAAATCTGCAACCCTTTATGGACAACTCGCCCTCTCTTACCATTGCCTTGGCTTTCAAGGCTCAGAAACCACTACAACTTGTCACAATTAAGTTGAATGAATTGCATTCTCAGAGGACTCACAGTAAGTCACAAAAGGTTTACATACAGAAAATCAGTCAATAGTTACCTTATCTTCTGCCCATTCCTCCCTCCTCCCCCTCACAGTGTGAGCCATTTGCTCTCAACAATATAGTGACAATAAACAGTACGATATACTTACAGCCAGATACATAGCTGCATATACGCTTAGTGCTGCTTCTTTGGATGGGAATGTCTTTCTGGCTTTCATGATAAGGTCTGGATTTCCAGTACAGGCATGAACGCTACTGATGAACTGTGTATACTGTTTACATCCAAGTGCTGTATAGTTGGGTTTACAAAGTGCAAGAAAATGGGGTGCAAGATTCCCTGTTACTACTTGTCCAGCATTTACAAAGATGTCCGTAGCAAACAGTCCAAATGCGTAAATTCCTAAAGATGGAAACAAAGAGTTAAATTTCCTGACAAATTCACTCCAGGGCAACATATTATATTATTTATCAAAGCAATATACCAGCTTCTTCCAATCAAGAGCATGAAAAATCCTCACATGTACTGCACCCTAAAGATCACGGCTCACGCTGGCGATGTTACTTTCCTACCCAACTGCAGCAGCAACACTTCAATGTACCCACACAGCTGATGCCTCTCCATCTTCCACAGGAGCATGCTCACCTCTTGTGTAAGTGGCCCACTCTCCCAGGCCCCCTAGCCATGCATGTACCCTGTTTGGGGTAGGTAGCCATACTGGTACATAAATTTTGCCCACGTTCATAAAACATGGTGAAGTGACAGAGGCAAATTCTTCACCCTATAAATCTCCTTGAGAACTAAAGAAGCTAGGCACTGATAGAGAAGTAAGTTGAAAAGTTGTAACACATATTGGACAAACATTTTCTTTTCCCTTGCAGCTGTAAAGAAGTTACAATACTGAATAATTCAATATTGCCATTCACAAGTTGTTTTCATCTGCCTGCTACTGGGTAAATCCCTATGCATGGCATATTAATCACAGTATCAACACAGCAAGATAAAGACCTATATATTTGAGGAGCTACTTATGCTAAAGAGTTTTTTTAATCAGACATATCAGCAAAACATTAAGTACGTGTACTCATTCATTAGAATGTAAATGCATGTATCTGATTACTTAAAAGAAAACAGATTTCTGCTATTCTGAAGTCCCTCTCTATCCTTTTGTAAATAGAAAATGAGCTCTGGAAGAACACACAAGCACAGCACTCTGACCAGGAGGCAAAGCCAGCAGGTGCTTGTTCAAATTCCACCTGAAATATAGATTTCCTCCTGTATTTCCACAGGCAAATCACCTTACCTTTCCCATACTCCAACTCACTCCAATATAGAGCAAGCTCTGGCAAATCCCAACTTCATGGGGCACTATGAGGACCCTACTAGACAAACACCACAGCAGACACAACTTCACTGAAACGTGCATTTCTACAGGTCAGGGGTTTTTTTCTCAGCAAAGCCAGAGGATCAAGGATGATTTCTGGGATCTGGCCGGTCAGCAATGTCACACTAATGTTAATTCACTCTGAGATGCTAGACTCTGGTGAGCAGCAGACTGTGCCTAGCCAAGTCACTTCACAGAAGGGCCCTTTCAGCAAGTCCCGAGGGTGTGCACTGCCCGCACAGAGGTGGCCAAATCACTTTGCGTGAGCGCAATGGGTAGCGATACCTCGTGTGGTACAACAGCACAGAGCCTTTTGTTCATCCCTGCCCTCCCTCACAATTTTTTTTTTGCTTCTGTGAAAAAAGGAGGGTCCACCTAGTAGGAAGGAAACTCAGGCACTGATTATACACAGAGCAACTGGAGTGGGAGGAGCGTCTCACCATCACTCCCCATCTCCTTCAGACCTGTGCAAGACAGTGTAATTCCTAATGACTTCTTGCACTCAATGTGACAGCAGCAATCACCCTCTCCGAAGGCAGGCACAGTTGTTACACAAACCCTGCAAATACAGACACAGCTGCACATGCCCTCCCTCCCCCTGTGACTGGGGCACGCAGCAGGATTAGCTGCCCCAAGGCTTCATTCCTCCAGCTGTTTCTCTTAGATACAACCATGAGAGAGAAGCAAACAACAGAACTGAGCCCTGTTATGGCATCCCTGCACACATCAAAAGCAGCATCTGGGAATATTCAATACATATTTTGAGTGGTGAGACTTCTCCCTCCAAACATGTTTAGAGTAAACTAAGTAGAAAAGATGATTCCTCATATCTACGAAAGTCAACATGGGGATTTTAGCCAAAATCAGCGTAGCATGGATTTAGTACAGTTTTCTACTAGAGATTATAATACAATATCCAGACTAAGAAAGCATCTAAATTTGGTTGGCTTCAAACACACATTTATATTCCAATATCTTGTATGTACTGTCACCCATAGATATGGCACAAGGATATCACCTTTCTTCATTTCATCCCACTCCATGCCTGCTGGCTGTTTTTCCCCCCTTGTGGTACCATTTTTTTCTATTTTTACAGCTGTTTCTGCAACTGTTTTTTAATCCAAACTTCCAAGAAGCTTCATTTGCTACCTAAAAGGAACACTGAACCTGAGTTAAGACTATACACAAAATGTTGTATGGTTATCTGAGTATTTTCCCCAGGTCAAAACTAAGACATAATTAATCACTCTCACCACTGAGAAAATCAAAGCAGTAATTTTGCTCATACCAAGGAATCTGATGGTCCTGCGCACCAGTGGATTTATATAACAACAGTCTCCAGTTAATATTGTTTTTTCTTGGTTTTCAAAATCCTTTGTAGCTAACTGTAGACAAAAGACTGCAGTTTCTCCAACGATAATCTTAGGGGAGGAGAAAAAAGGAGAGAGAAATGGTACATCAGATTACAGCAAGTCAAGTACACTAATATTACAGAGACAGCCATCTCATCTTAAAAAACAATACTAAACCAGCACAAAAGACAACATAAGTGAATCAAGTTCTGTACATTAATCTTCTTATGGGGGAAATATGCCTTATGGCTTGCTTTACTTTATTTGCCTTAAAAGAGAATAAATTACTACAACTAGGATTTGGAGTCGACATAGCATAACCTAGTTTTCAGGATGAGGGGAAAGAGAAAGAAAAAAATCTATCAGTTCAAGAACAACAGATCACATAATGCAGAAGATTTGCACCACAGTAAAGGTCTAATTCTGAAAGATGCTGAACATTTCAGTTTTCACACAGCTTTCACTGGCACTGAGCACTTCACAGGGCTGAGTTGTAAATTTTGGACCATAGTGGGTGAAAATTTAAAAAAAAAAAAAAATCTTAAAAGAAATCCTGTACACATCATAGGTTTGGTTTGCCAGGAGGCACTTAACAGGTTTTGATTCATTTTTTGCCAGCTAAGTTTATTAAGTCTGGCTTTAGCTCTGTTCCTCATGCTTGAACAAAGTGTCACCACTGATACTTTAACACTGTTTCACATTCATTATACCAAAATGAATAAAGTTCTCATGTCCATATATAATTTACATTATGGTTGGTAAAAAATAAACAAAAAATGAGAAAAAATGCATTTTCAACTTAAAATACCCCTGTAGGTTGTGTATTTACGTGTACAGCAAAGCATGGCCTTTAATTTATTCAAACAGTTCTGGTATTGAGACTTAATAGCCAAAGCCAACCCTTAAGCAGGTACTTATCTAAACCTACAATATTGAAGTGTTATGGTAGGTAGCACAGGTACAACCAAAAAGTAAAGCAGAAGGGTCAAATACTGCCCACTGTGTTCCAACTCTGATTCACTGTGGGAATTACAGGCAAAGCTCTTCCACTCTTCTATATGAAAAGCTGTAAAAGCTGTACCTCACTGATAGGTAAATCACACTTTGATAAACAGGAATGAAAATCAGCAAACTGAAGTTGAATACTACACAAATACAAGAAATAATGCCATTAAATCTGATTCACTGCCTAGGTTTTCCAAAACTTTTGACCTAAGAGGAAAATACAAGCCTTTTAATACATCACAATAGGTCTGAACAGTTCTACACACAGCACTGGTGACCAAAAAAAACCCAACTATGGGCACTGACTCACAAGTACATTTTGTTGTCACAAAGAACGCAATTAATGACCTTACTCAGCTGTGTGTAGATCTACACAGATAACCCTGGGGCTGAATTTTGACACATAGGAGAAAAGTGCTTCTTACAAATAATGCGGCATAAGTGACAAAAATAACTGTGGTGGCAAGTGTGTAAAAAGCAAAATTCAGCTTGTCACCAAAACAGTCATTATCTATTACTTTGGACTGGCTTCAGATCCCAGTGGAATTTTTAGATCAAACAGAAATTTCAATACCTGCACAAGTATCCTCTCTCTATTTTGATGCAAGCAAATTTTTAGCCTACTGAAGTAGAATTCCTTCATCTATAATTAGCAAATGATCAGTATACATGAAAAGTAACTCAACCTTGAATTCAAGGCCATCCAAATTACGACAAGTAGAATTCAACCCAATGATCCCTACAGCTCTCTTGAAAAAAACATACAAATAAAAAAAATTCAGTTTTAATATGATTCATAAAGGTGAGAACTGAAACAGTATTATTTTCTGTGAGTCACAGTATTGCCTTTCTTATCAAGGTCTCTTATCAAGGACTAGGCAATCTGAACACAGTCAGATTCTGCATTTAACTGATTCTTTTTGCCAAACTCAATAAATTTCAGTAAAAGTTTCACAGATTTTGAAACTCCAGGAAAAAGCAGAATTCAGCGCAAGGGAAGCATCTGTGATATGCAGCGCTCAACCTTTTGCAAGAACACCCTGAGAAAGAGTGCCAGCAAGCTCAACTCTCCAGTTCTGAGCACAGACTGACTCTGCTGATCTAAGAATAAAGGTCTTCTTGCATGGTAGGGAAGCTGGGGTTAACAAAAGGGAGAACTGCTCACTCCCTTAGAGGAAAGGAGACCCTCGTTTCCAGTAACCTGTCTTCATCAGCTGCATCTAGATCCTTGCTGCTGCCAACAATTTTTCCTTGTTACATTTCCCATCTTTGATGGTGACCCGGGAAGAAAACCCTCTGTTCTGAGAATAGCAGGGAACAGTGTTCGTTCTTGGCGGAATGAAAATACTCCCAGAGTGGGCATGTATGTGCAAGGGTCAGAAGGATGCAGAACCCGGCTAAAGACAAAATTTTTTGCTATAGCAGGCCTAGTGCTCTACTGTCAGAAGTAATCAGAGTAGGATATGCCACTGAGCACACAAGGCATTCATCTCTATGCTTCTGTGGCTTCACTTTGATAGAATCCTTCTAGAATTTGGCAATAAATACAGGTTCTTTATTTTTCTGTACTGGCAGCTCAGCTAAAGCTGTTCTCCTTCCTCCATCCTTCAGCACAAGCACTGCTCATCTCAATAATCAGCCTATTGATGTTTCAGAAATGGAAAGAAAATCTTTTTCAATCTCAGCAAATCCCAGGAGAGATTCTGTTTCCCGGTATAATTCTTTCTCCTTCTTCTCTCCAGCATCACTGGCAATAATCAGCCCTACAGGGTAGAGGAAAAGGAGGGCGATCTCCCCCTTGCCCTTTACAATAATTTGCATGCCTGGAATATTCCTTGAAGGGACAATTTCTGTATTCCCACTGGCACAGGACCCACCATTACCGCTTCCACCACATATGCAAGTTGTAACCAGTCAACAAATGACATTTAATTTAACAGAATTATTTGTGTACTTTTTCTCTAAGTCTTGGGGCAAAAAGTTTTTGGAATTCCTAAACTGACAGTGAAAGATTGCAATGAATCTGAATGTTCTGACAACACAAATCTCTGGACAAAACTACACAAGTTCAGGTATAGAAATATAATTTGCAATGAAAATAAAAGGATATTAGAAGTATCTTTTACCTTATTCTAACAGCGTCATACTACTTTAGATCACTGTACAAATTTCCAGAAGGTATATATTAAAATTCTTAGATCACAGATATTTTAACATCTGTTAAAAGCAGAGGAGGCCATCGTTCCCTAAGGGTGAGAAAACCTTTTGACATACAACTACAGCATGTAAAGTATAAGGAAAAGAACAATTTTCAGCTGAAGACAAACAATATGAAGTCCTTAGATAAAAACACAGTGTATATAACTGCTACAAGAAGAAGGAAGACAATAATGATCCTTTATTCTTATGGAAGCATGAAAAAAAAATTAACACAGTAAAATTTAAGTTATAGGAGAAGTTTTACCTCTTAATCCCTGATTAATTTATTAGCTGACTGATTTTCATTGTGGCTTTAAACTAGTAATGTATTTATTAACAACCACCTTTCCTTGTTTTCTATACAGGATTCCTATAGCCTTTAGCACACATTCCCTACACTGATTCCTTCCTCCCAAGTAAGTCCAGGGTTTTTTTCTCTATTAGTCATTTTTCTCAATCCAGGCAAGCTGTTCCTAGTTTTAGCACCGCATGTCAATTTAGAAATCTAATTTGGCCTTTCCAAAATGATCCATCCAGTATATTCTTAACTTAGTTCTAAATTCTGAGCTGTTTTTCAACTTAAAATGTCAAGTCTGACTCATTCCAAATATTAGAGCTAGAGCAGCTCTGACACTGTTGATTTTCCAGTAAACTGACTCCATAAACAAACTTCCCCTACTGTCACCTATGGTTTACAACACCCAGCACCTATATAAACAAATTACCTTAAATCTGCACTTCTGAAATACTAATGAGGTTTATTTTTATGGCCTACCTTTTCACCTATATCACATAACTGCCTATAAAACCCCAGGACTCAACTGAGAATTAAACATTCATTTGAATGACAAGATATCTGAGGGTGCATTAGTGCATTTAAACAAGATAAATCCTGAAATTTAAGACTGATAATCTCTATTTGGGATTAGAAAATAAATTTCCATGTATGCAGTCACAGACTACTCTAGCTAACACCTATTTTAGGATATACAAGTGTTCATGAAATATTTCACACAGGCTAGAGAACACTGTGGAATACACGATTCCCTCTCTGCCAATTCTCAGGGTTATGCTGTAGCTACAGCAACCACTCAGATAGATGAGTAACACTGAAAAGCAGTTACTGCATTAAAAAAGACCACTAAATATTCATCCATGTGCTAAACTTGTCAAGTTAGGAAGAACAGTTTACAATACTGTGCATTGTCATTTCACTTCTGACTTCTTTTCATTCATTGTATTTCTCTCATTCAGACATGACTTGAACCCTACTCAAGGCTTCTGTGAGACCATCTTCAAGAAATAACACAGTAAGGGATTGTCCCTTTGAGGAATGAACATCTTGGGCTGTCCACAGTTCTGCTTTTCTCTTTAGAATGAGCTTCCTTGTACTTATCAGAAAGAAGGGAAGTTAGGAACTGGAGTTAAAAGTCTTGGGGATGATTTACGTATCTCTGGGGAAACTGTTATCAATTAAGTTGCGCTGCCTCCCCATTCATTTCACTTACGAGTTACCACTCGTAAGTGTGGTGTAGACCTCTCCTAAAAACATGGCTTCCATATGCTTTGTTATTCCTGCTCTTTACCTTGTCCTCTTAACTTTGGAGACCACAGAGTATTTCTGGCCAATTTCCTCTTTAAAAATGCCATTAACGTACCAAAGAGCACAGTGATCTCAGAGTTTGGAAAATCTAGCAGTATAAATCTTGGCTTCAGTGATGCTGCTCTACTCTCTGCTTTAAACTAAAAATGTTGAGTGAGGTGACAGCCCTGGCAGGAAAAGCAGCAACTGCATTTCCAGCAGTAGCAATTTCAAGTTCATTATGCAGAGCTTTCCCTTGAGGCCATTTTCTTTGTGTTTTTCT